TGCTGAAGGAGAAATGACTGGTACGTTGGGAGCTCCTGAACGTAGGCTGCCACTCATCTGTCTGCTGCTCCCTGCTGCAAGGGTTGCGATGCTTCTAGTTGACTCTAGTAAGAGGCAAAGTTCTTGCACTTTATGAGCAAAAGTATTCCCTGTCTGAATAAAACGTGCCTGAAAAGAGATGGGTGACGGCATAAGGAGACTTTCACTGTGAGGTTCTGCCTTACTCGGGTCAAATTCAGCCCATGCCTCTAGTACCTAAAGGTGAGTCCCATCTGCTGCTGGGTGTTAGGAGCCGATGTGAAGCAAGTTTGGTCTCTGACCAGTTCCCGGTGAACTACTGTCGGCGCCAGACTGCCATCGCAACTGTAAGGCATCCCTAGCACGCTGAAACCGAGGCCCGAGTGGGCCTTGCGGCTGAACTTGCTCTGGTTCCTGGGGCAGGTGGTCCAGACCCAGGTACCTGTTGGTGAGCTGGAGAGGAGCAATCCCTTGCTGCTGCTGTGTCCTGCAGACCTCTTGGCTTGCTGGGCTTCAGCGTCCTGGGTGCTGAGCGAGTCCTTTCACCAGCACTAAATTTAGTCATACTGTGCCATGCTCTCTGCTTGCCTTTGGGGAAAGGGTGGGAGCCCTGTCTCCGGGTCTGCAGGCCAATCCGAAGGTATAGCAAGTTGGACTGTGGGTTTTATTCTTTGGAAACCCTGCCAGCTGCCAAAAGGGGCAAGCTCACCCCTAGCTGTTCGTTCTGCCAGTATCAGCTCTGTCCAAACGACAGGGCTCTCTCTTCGACTGGGGTGCCATGGCTTCAAGTCCCTTTTCCCAAGATACTGTTTTGCTGCAAGCACCCCGACGTGGGCTTACAGGAGGGTGGCAGGAAACATGCTGCTGACTGTGAGGAGACGCTGCGCATCAGTCCCTTGACAGACTGCAGCATGGCTGGGGGCCACCTCCTGGGCAGACGGGTCAGTGCTGTCGTTCCCAGGGTCTCTGCGCAGAGCCTCACTGCTCTACAGCAAACACCCCTTCCAGTTTGTCAGGTGACTTTTCTGAAGCATGTATTGCTGCTGTATAGAGATCTTGTTCCCCTGAAGCCTCATGCTATGGGGCAGGATATGAATGATTCTCTGAGCAGAAGGTTTGCAAGAACTGAACTGGTTTATGCTTCTTTTTATTAAGAAGGTATGTTTTGTTTGGGTGGTTTTTGGTTTTTTTTTTCTGAGTGGCTGCTAATGGACTTTGGTTCTGGCTCTAAACCAAGTGCTAAGGAATATATTCTTAAGTTTAATGGAAGAATTATGCTGGTTTTGCACTCTGGTAGAGATGGAGAAATCCTGTGGACTTCAATGTGAACACCTACTGCGGTTTAGTTTTCTTTACAGCTATCTATCTTGTTTGTAAGAGGAAAAACCTGTGCTTTTCCTCCAGGCTGAAGATTACTTAGTTTTGTTCCTCCAAATCAGGTCCCAAGTGTTAGTGATGAGAATAAACCTTCACTGTGTATAATAGTTCTCGTGTCAGCTCTCGGTTTTGTCCCCTTTCTCATGATAAGGGCTGAAGCGAACCTCTTGTTGTGGTAGCATGCCCGAGAACAGCACAGAGCTGTCCCAGGCAGCCCTCCCCCTACGCAGAGAGCTTGGCAGCGTTCAGACCGTTGTGCAAGGCCTTTTTCCTTCTATTACAAACTATTGCATGAAACGTCTAGTGCTCCAGCGGCCCTGCCTGCTTGCAGAGTGCCTGACTCTGGTGCACGGTCTCTCTGAATGCTGAGTTCATGCCATTTAGCTAATGGCTTGAACTGCTCAGCTGTCTCAATGCTAACCAAGTTTAAACCAGTAAATCTGGTAACAGCTAATGCTAGCAACAACACTTAATGTGCTGCCTATGTGCTATGCAAACGCTTTCTTTCTACTGCTGTTGCTGTTAGGAAACTGCTGCCCAGGCTTCTGCCATGCTTTAGTCAGCTCTATATTGCATTACAAAGCCTCTTAATCCTGTTATTTTAGCCAGCAGGCCTGTATTTTTAGGCTACAGCTGTTAATAGTGGGAGTGAGGGTACCATAAAATGGAACATGGGTTCTCCTGACCTTATGCCAGAGACTGGTGCTTGATAGCAAACTACTGTTGCAAAGTTAACGGTGCTCTTCTCGCTCGTGCGGTCTTTGAAGAGAACCCCTGTGCTACTATGATCTCCCCTCCTTCAAGGTACCCTCTAGAAAGTGCTTCAGCCTCTTGCCCACCCTGGCTGCTGCATGTGTCTCACTGCACCTTAGTACTGACCCATAGGAATTGCTCTGTGCTCAGGAAGGAGCAGGGTTGCTGGAGGTGTCTTTAGCAGCACCAGAGGCAATATGGGAAAAGATGAACGCTGAACTCCAGCAGAGGAGATATAGGGAGTTTTGTGGTTCTACTGGCTTTGATGTACAAAGGAAGCCCACATAGGGAGGGAGGAGGTAGCTTGGCTCTCTGCAGGAGTTCAGTCTAAACTAACTGAAGGGAGTTGGGGGCGGAGGGGGATCTCTCTTCAGGTTCAGCCAGTTGTCCGTCTTTCCCTGGACAGCAACCCTACAACAGATGAAGGTAATAAACCACTCTCCTCCTCTACCCTTCTGCAGCTCACTTCTAAATAAAGCCACAGGGAATTTTTGCCAAGACAGCTCTTATGTTGTTCCAATGAGTGAGTGAATGGAAAGAGCAAAATTTGGGTGGATGCTTTTATAGTAATAGCTCAACTATTTTAAGTATGAAGAAGTAACAAGGCAGAGCTAAGAGTGATTCACTGTAACAAAAGTTAAAATAAAATCGTCTTTTAATAATAAGCTTATTAGTTTGACCAAAATAACTTCCATTAACTAGCAGCATCATATAGGCATATCTCAATGCTTGCGGAAGAACTTAGTTTCAAATTTGGGAGCTGTCTAAAATGAAGGCTCTTTCTGACTGCTTCAGCTGAGCTTCCCTTTCAGGGCCAGCACCAGATCTGTCTTCTCTGCACCTGGCTTCTTGGGCAGGGACGCCCAGGGTAAGGAAGGTACTGGACTGTGACAAGAAAGAAAGGGGAACATTGCCCAGATAACCTCAACTTAGAAGGGCAACTTGAAATAAAATTCCACACTGTGGAAAGCCAGGGATTGAGAAGAACCAAGCAGCCCTGGTGGCTGTCCCAGTGGCTAAGAACTGGCTCTTGCTCATGTAGAAAGGCTGCCTGAAGCAACCACCACTGTGGGAGCTGCACGTAGATCCAGTGCTGTTTTTCCTGCATTGTTTCCAAATGCTTCCTTGAAATGTTTAGAGTATCCTGATCGACTCAGTGGAAGAACAGCTGAAACCACAGGCTGACACCAGTAATGGAGCCACCTTTCAAAGCCGGTTTGACGCTTGCTGCCCAGGCTCATACTGCGTGCTATCCCTTGGCAGGAGCCGACAACCGCCAGCCCTTCCAGAAAGCACTCAACACAGACCAGCTTCTAGAATCTAGTTCCTTTCAGGAGTAATTGCTGCCATAGCAGCTTGCAATCCTAGACTTTTCAGATTCTCAAGAGATGTCCATCCAGGGCTCAGTGGTCTTGAGGGCAAGTTTTCCTGGTGTGGCCAGGCTGACGGCAAATGCTACAGGTCCGAGGTTTCTTGGCAGTGGCCGCTAAGGAGAGACTACTTGGTCTCTTAGCTTTACTTCCAAACTCTCTTGAGTATCCACTGTTCCCAAAATGGTTCAAAGAATCTCCAGAAGCTCCTAGAGAGAAACAACTTGGATGTAAGTACCTTTGATATAAGGAGTTGAGAAACAGAAGCTAGGTTCAAAATGGCAGTAGCTCGAGGATTTGACTATCCCAGCCACTTAAGTTGTTCTTGAAGCTACACTTGGTTAGCATTTAAATTCAGACAAATCGGAAGCATTTGTCTTGCAGTACTAACTAAACATAGGATCAGAATAGGGAAATTCATCTTTCTGGTTGCACACTTTGGTCTACAGTCACAGCAGAAACAATAAAACGTGCCAGAGTAAAACTTGTTATAAGCAGTTTTGGAAACTCGATTCTACCCTTCTAGGGCCTAATGTCTAAGAAGGAAGAAGCCAACATTAAAGATCTCTTGGGTCACATCTCTACCCCTGTACTTTGCTTACCATTCCTTGGTGTCAGCGCCCTTTCTTTCAGATCCTTATTTTGTGATTTAACAGCCCTTTGACTACTTGCTTTCACCACCTTTCCCTTGCAGCCACACTCAGTTTCTCAGCTGTGACCAAAGCTTCAGAAAGACTTGGCCTTTCACTGCATTCCTAAACTAGGGCAGAGGGAGCAGCATGGCTTTCCTGGCATGGCAGAACAAGGTTTAAGATCTCCAAAAGTGGTGTTGCTGCTTCAACCCTCTATCAAATCAAACAGCTTTCTCAAAGCTGAACACCAGAACGTGGGAGGACAATCCCCCAACAGACTGTTGGATAATGTGGTGGGCTTTATCCACCGAGTCATGGATGCTCCAACTTACAGCACAGATCTCAGTGGATGTGTGAAACAACACTGTATTCTGCTGGCCTTCAGAGGAAGGTAAGCCAGATCTGATTGTTACAAACAACATTTTAAAACTGCTATAATGTTGCTGACAGCTCTTCTAGAAGAGGAACCTGAAGTCTGTCAAACAGATGAGTTGCTCTAAGAGTTGTCATGCTATGATAGCCTTACACAGTGCCAACTTTTTTTTTTTTTTTTACACCATATATGACAAGTATCTGTTTGGTTTAGCTTTAAGAACGGTCCCTAACCCTCGCTTCTCACTCCAAGCCCAGCCTTACCTGGTGCCATGTTTTCGTCTGCCCACTGGAAGAAGCCACATTGCTGGTCTCTGGGTTTAGAGCAGGTGTGGAACTGCCGTCCTTTGTTAGGCCCATCCTTTTGGACGGTGCGCGTGACAGCTGGCTGATCACACTTGCAGACTGTGCCACCCCCACCTCCTGAATCGGAGCTGTTGCTTCCAAAGAGCTCTGGGCCTCTCCCTCCTCCTGGGCTCTGAAAGCCTGCTGGGCCCCTTCCCGCAAAGGGCCGGGGCGGCACGGAGCCTGGCGGAGCTGTGTTGCCTCTGTCCTCTGACTGCTGATCAGCCCAGAGGAAAAAGTTGCAGGTACTGGCACTGCATTTGTAAAACTGCCTGCCTTGATTGGGCCCTTCTTTGCGCACAGTTAGCAGCACTGCTTCGTTCCCACAGTTGCACATCACTGCGTTGTTCCCATCGTCTGGAGCCACAGACGGCGCAGGCCTGGGTGCTCTTGTTGAACTCAAGGATAGAAGGTGTCCTGATGACAGGTTTGTGGTCCTCTTCACGTGCCTGTTTTCACCACCAGCCCCTCTGTTAAAGGAGTGGTTGGCCTGCGAGTGATGAGCTTGTTGGCTGGCTGAGCACACAGGTTGGGATGACCTGTGCAAGTATTTCAGGTCCAAGAGCTCTCTTAGCATCTCATCACAGCCTCCAATACAGCCAACAAACTCCAGGGGCATCATGGGTGGGACACTGCCTCTCTTGAACTTAAATTTCAGTCTAAAAGAAGAGAAAGAATAAAAGTCCCCCAGTTCATGTAATTCCTCATCAGCTGAGCTTGATTTGGACTTGATTAGTATTAAGTGGTCCCCCCGCCCCCACACTATACTTACACTGACTTCCTCCCTCTTGTTACTGTCCCCTAGCAATGAGAGCGCTGCTCTAGCTTTCCAAGATGGGAACAGAAGAGTTGCCCAGCCTGACCCATGGAAGTCTCTGGCCCTGATGGCTAACAGGTAGCATCTGAGGGGTTGCATTTGCCTAATGCGTAACTAGTGCAACTTACTTACCTGTGAACTGGATGGGGTTTGCACACAGCGCAGACACTCTCATCCCTAGCTACGTCCAGCACAAAGTCAGGAAACCAGACTGCAGTTTTACAAGCTGGATAGCCCATGCAGCTGAGATAAAACCTGCCGTGGGATAAAGGGACCGAATGAGGAAGAGGCAGTCAAGACAGTCAGTGACCTGTTCTCCCCTCTTCTCCTCAGCTATCACTTGCTGCAGAAACTGTCAAAACAATTTTTAAGAGCAAATATGTACTGAGAGAGAGGTTCAGCTGAGTCCATTAAGCTTGTGTAGCTGGTGGAGTTTGCTAGCTGCAGCCCAGGCCATTATACATATTGCACAGAGGAGAGGTAAATGAACAGCGCCCAGCGACACACAAACCAACACAGAAGGTTCCTTTCTGCAACAGGGAAGATTACCAACCCGCCATTTTTCTTGGTCTTCAGGACCATATCATTGTTGCACTGTGGGCACTTCCGAATGGAAACAGGCATTGCTGGGTAGACTTCCTCTTGCTCTGCAATTTCTGTGGCTTGTCCAAAGTACTGAGCCAGGGCTTGATCCAATCTAGAAAGAAATAAGCACAACATCCTAAGTGTCTCCTCTGCAAAGAGTAAACAGGCCGTGGATTGGTGCCTTCTGTCCCTTCTGTCAGCTCAGCCCCTCTGAGACATCGGTTCAGGATGTACAGGCTAGCTGCGAGTGCAACATGGAAGAAGTCAGTGCATTGTTGCCTTTCCTTCGACCAGCTCTGAATTTAATCCAATGAGTCCTAAACGCAAATGGATAGTTAGCACCAACTCATGACAGCCTGCCATACTGCAAGTCATCCCTTCCTCTGCGAATGCCTGCACGTGCTGAAGAGCTCCAGGAAAACAGCGTTATAGGAACCCACTCCTCTCCAGGCTGAGCCCCAGATGAGAACTTACGCCTCCCAGAACAGCAAAGCAAACAGGAGGGCAAAGACAGGACTCACTTGTTGGCTCTAGCCACAGCCTCAATGAAGACTTGCTTGTACTTTTGGACCTGCTGCTGCAAAACTGCAAGTTTGTCTTTCTTCCCCTCACAGATCAGCTTCAGATCAGCCTCCAGCTCAGCTCGAAGGTCAGGCTTGGACATCTCGTAGCCCATGGAATCATAGCCTGAGGAACATATGGCATGGTGAATGAAATGAAGGCGTGAGTAAGGAGCCTGCCCTCTACCTAAAAAGCACTGCCCTTACCTTCCACCAGCCCCATGCCCAGGTGGCCTGGAAGGAACCTCTGATCTGCAGTAAGGCCCACGTACATCCGCAGCTTAATGGTCTCAATGTGCTCGGCGTGAGTGGCGTCAGTCCCTGAAAGCAGCAAGGTTGTTAGTTGAATGAGATGCCAAGAAGTGATTTTTCCCCGTGTCTACTGCAGAGTGCAAGGTGCTAAACGGGCAAAAAGAAGGAAAGAACTTATGGCCAGGAGCAACACCATCCTCATCTCCTGCTGGCACCAAGGCTGACAAGATGCCGGCGGGCACCCCTGGGACCCTAAACTGCACGCCCCACAACGTATCTAACTGGGATGCACTGCAGACTCCTTAGGATCTCTGGGCTTTGCCCACAGGTCCCTACTATCTCTTTGCTCTGAATATTTAAGGGATTTCTTTTAAGCGGCATTTAAAAAATTACCTACTCTGAAGATGGGACAGAACTGTTATTAGACGAGTCAAGAAGGAGAAGCATACGAGCAAAGCTCTCCCAAGAGCCTAAGGTCATGCTGCCAATACTGACCAATGCCATGTTTCTCCATGAGCGCAATGAGATCCGCTTCGGTGAGGAGTGATGGAGGGCTGGTTTCCCCATCCACCATCTCCACTGTGGTGGGCTGAAAGCGAGACCCTTTCTGATACACTGGGATAACCTGAAGGAAGGAGAATCTCTGTGAAACTACCTTCTGCACCATTCACCGAAGACAAACGTCACACTAACAGCAAGCCAATGCAGTAATACAGCAGCACCCTGTTCTGCAGGAGATTCAGCCCTCAGGGTCCTCAGGATTAGTCAGTAACGAGCTGCCAAAGATACCATGGAACAGCAATTACAACTCGTCTTGGTAAGTCAGGTCAACCCCACATGGAAGCAGCTCTGTATGGTCCCTGCTGTTGTGTCGGAAGAGGAAGACTCTATCCAAAACTGTCACAATACGCTGCACAGGTTTTCAACAGAGATGACTCTGAATGAAATAGCTAGCGGGGCCAGGAATTGTCAAAGGACGTTCCGCAGAGGGGTCTGAATTTGGCAATAAAGCTTTCACGTTAGTACAACCAAGTGCAAGTTTAAACTCCAAGTACTTTAACCTCTCCCATCTATGATGTTCAAGGGTACTACCTTATCACTCCACTTCTCATAAGGATAGACTTCCAGATAGTTTCGGGCCAAGATCATTAGTCCTTGAGCAATGAATCGCTCTTTAGCGATGTCGATCTCCACAGTTGTTTCCTGTCCCTTGGCATCTTGAGAGCAGCAAGCCAAAAAATGGCGCACAATGAATTCATATAGTCTCTGCTCATTCCCCTAATATCAAACAGAAGAAGAGCGTCAGAGTTTCCTCCAGGGTTAGTGAGATGTCAAGAGATAACAGCACGATGTCAGGTTCGGGATACTATACTAATGACCAGATTGTTAAGATTCTTAGCCTTATGTATCAAGCAATATAAACGATCAAGTTATCTCTGCCTTTATTAAACTCACCTGCAGGTTAGCAGTGTATTTGGTGGGATGAATGGGAGGGTGAGCCTGATCTGATTTGGTTCCGCTCCGAGGGGTTGGCCCACCCTGATCCAAAATCCTCTGTGCAAATGCTCCCCAGTTTGGGTCCTGTGTCTGCTGTTGTACCAAGGCAGAGAGGTTCAGCTCCTTGGGGAAAATGTTGGTCTCAGTTCGGGGATAGCTTATGAACCTTAAGAAGGCAGGCAAAGGAGGACTTTAGGAAGAGCTCCAAGGCATTTCCCATTTTGGATTAAAGGCCATTAATTTTTGAAAGAATTGATTTTTACCAAGCCAGCACACTAAAATCTCTCTCTCTTACCCTTGAGTGTAGAGTTTTTCTGCTATTCTCATGGTTTCTTTGGCATTTATTTTCAGTTTACGGGAAGCCAGCTTCTCAAGTTCCTGTGTTGGGAAGAGCCGGAAAAAATGCATTTATGGCATAATTCTCGGAGGTGAGTAAAATATATATTAAAAGCTCCTTTCAGATGAGTCTGTTTAGCACTGCTGTATCACACATACCACAGTGTCCAGGGGCAGAGGCCTCCATTTGCTCTTCGGCTTGCTTGCAACCTCAACAACAGTGGCTACAGGATCCTAAACGCAGAGTAAGCAAAATGCAAAATCTCCTTGAAGAGTTTAAAAGGACTGTTCTTTAAATAACTTGAGCAAGATAGATGCTGGAAACGTTTGGTTGATACTGGAGTATACTATTGACAAAATTTCCTACCTCCATACACATGTGGTAAAGGACCAGGCATGCTGTGTGATTGAAGAGTCTATTCCTCTTCCAGTTGAAGACCACAGTGCTATCCTCATGTTCATGTGTCACTGAGTTGAAAACAGATCAGAGTGATGCATACAGTAATAATGCAACTCTAAGACAGCAGAGGCAATGGAACTATACTTCTGGGGAACCTTTCCAACTCTGCCGAATGATCATGGCAAAGGAAGAAGAAATCATCTCTGCCGTAGTGTTTGCTCATTGCCCTGATACTTTTCCTCCAATTCATATTTTATACTAAATATTAGTGTTTTTTGTTTGTTTGTTTTTCCTCCAAACACATCAAGCTCTGTAAGATGGAACTGAGTACTCCCTTCCCCCCAACATACCTTTGATTTTATAGAAAGCTTCAGGAACGAAGGCCTGGATGGCTTTAAAGCGTTCAACTACAAACCCCAGTGTTGGGAACTGGCAACTGCCATAGCTGATCAGCTGATCTGCTAGAACATCAGGGAAAATCTTCCGGAGCCTCAATGTCTGGAATCTGGTGAAGGCAGCACCTGAGAAAAATCAAATGAATGCTAGAATTGAATAATAAAACATCGGAGAATAATCACACACCATTTCAGAGCTTTTTTATTTTTCTCTAATACTTTGAAACCAAAATTGCAGAAGCCCATCAGCTCTGCACAAACTATAAACCTAACATTTGTTTCAAAGAGCATGGTGTTTCCAGTAAAACAGAAGATGTGACTTAGTTGTTTCTGATCGAAGAAGCAAAAAAAAAAAAAATCAGGTTTACAACACTGGAGTTTAGGCATTTTTGTCTTGCATGGGGGATACAGTCACAGATGATTATGAAACATCCATTGCTGGGCTTTAACAATGTGAATTCAGTGCAGTTGAATGAGAAGCCAGGAAGATCCTGATGGCCAGCTATCCAGTTTACACAGCAGTCTTGAGTTCTGGTATTTATAAATAATGACCTGCACGCTGGTAAAGCTGGTGCTGATTATCCCCTGCCTGCCTACCTGCCACACTCTTGCTCTTTTCCCTTTAGAAGAGACGTATGCAGCAGCTCAGGCTTAGCAGCCTCTTTTCATCTCCAAGGTGTGTTTACGTACCTATCCTGAGGTCCAGCTCCTGCCTGACATCAACAGCATCGCTAGTTTTTTGATCCGGCTGGGTGAGATTCTCGCAGGCTGATCTGACAGCATGAAGCGTAATCTCTGAAAAACGAGCTCGGAAAACCCGGAGGTTTGGTTTTACTGTCAGACAAAAAGAGAAATCAAAACGCAACTCAAATGACAACGGAAAAGAGTGATTAATAAGCAGCTGTCTTAAAAACAGTATGTTGTCAACCTATTCTGTAGCTTTCCAACACATGAATGTATTTCTGGTGTACTCCATTCTACATTCAACGTATTTAACTTGGATATGGAGAAGACAGCTCTATTATTAGATCTCTGAGCAGCAGTACCTGTTAGATCAGCATTTTAATGGAACTCAGATTGATACAGAAGACGCTCTACGCACCGGCTTTGCAAACGTGAATTATTTCAAAACCAATGTTCTCTCCTTCTCGATCGCAATCAGTCCAGATCACCAGAGCTTGGCATTGCTGGACTTCTCGTTCGAGGGTTCTCTGAGAGGAGAAAACAGCACAGAATGAGACATGCCAGACCACTTGCTTTGTCATTTAACTTTAAAATGACTCACTAACTGAACATAAAATACAACACGTATCCATAGAGATAGATTGTTGCAATAACATTTTGTAATCGTGTCTCTCACGAGATTAGGCAGCTTTCAAAAGGACTGAGTCATTTATTTACATCTACCTCTTTGTTCAAAAACATGGCTTGGATGGGATCGCACCACACAATTTGTTTCCTTTTTCGTAAAATCAAGGCACAATTACCAATTCCACTTTATTAGAAAAAAATCTTACTTTTAGCAAAATAATTGTCCCTTTACTGCACTAATTGTGTATGAGCAGGAGACTTTCAATGTCATAGATGAACAGCATACATAGTCCTACAAAACACAGGAGGAATTTTCTAAATCCTAGAAGCTTAGATGGTTAGGACAAAGCTATGATCCTCCCTCTGTCTGAGACAATGTTTGTAGAACCAATCTCTGAACCAAACTCTTACAAGTACATACCTTAATATCCACATAATTTTCAGGACAATACTTCTCAATTTCGGCATCAAAAAGTGCTAGAGGGTTGCAGCTATGCCTGGTAAACAGAAAATATGCAGTGTGCATAGCAAACAAAGACTAAAACGTACGTTGCAAGACACTAACTGGGGCTCTCTTATAAGGAAGTGCTGCTCAGATATCGGAAGGGTGAACACATCTAATATGGACCTTGCCTTAGACAACTTTCGAGCTTATTCGAAATACTGAGTTTCATTTACTCAAAAGCAATAGGCACAAAATATTACCGTAGAGAAAAACAAATTTGGAAGGCAGCCCTAAACAAGCAACTTCTCTTATTTCAAGTACGGAGAACAAAACTGAGGGAAGTCAGATAAAAACTCTTGTCTTCCAGGACAACTGTCAGTTGAACAAAGAAAACAGAAGCGTCAATCAACTGTTGGAATTGGCTTATTTCCTTGGGACTGCCTTAGTGCATTTTCATCACTATTGTAACTTGGGTTTGGGTTTTCTTTTTGAACACTCTGAAGACAGTCATTTGGTACGATATTGTAATTATCCTACACAGAATTTAATAGTTATGATCCTAGTCGACACAGTTACTTGAAGTGCACAGAATCAGAGCCCCTTCCTGCTCCAGGAGTGTGGATTTCTACTATTGGACCTGAAGTACTCCTCCTCTAGTTGGAAAAAACGTGTCGCCTCAGTGGAACAACCAAGATGTTTTCTGAGGAAACATTCACACAGGCTAGCGTGCCCCGTGTTGACTACATCAGCCCTGTTCTACAGGTTGGCCTTGGGACTTGCACTGACCGCACTGCTCAGCTCAGGATTAAAAGCAGAGAATGGCAACCCTTCCTCCTGTGGGGGGTACTGAGTACTAACCATTTGCGAAAAGGCAACTTAAAATCATGAGCCAGCAAATGTCCTGACACGGATGTCATCACCATAGTAACATTCTGCAAAAGACAGAACAAGGTAATTAGTGTCTGTCTTCTGCCAAAAACTGCCCAGAGCCTACAGTCTTGATGCAGTTCTCAATTCACACAAAATCAGTGATATCTCCCTCCTGCTATTGTCATTTTCTCTCCTTACGCAGCTAAACCCATATGCTTATCCTGAATCTGTGTAGGAAGCTCCCAATTCTAAACACCAAAATACCTTTTGACAGACGGAAAATAGAAGAACAGAAGTTTGAAAGACCTAAGACAACACAACAGGTCAGTGGTTGAGCCAGAAGAACATCTGAGTCCTTTGTATGTCTTTGGACAAATCTCCTCATCCCTGGATACGCATTTCGTAAATTCTGACAAATGGCTTTTGATAACTGGTGTTTTGCACTTCTCCCAACCAGAAGGGATATGAAAGAAACCTCTACCTGGCCAAACATTTGGTAGTCATACTCGTAGATCTTGTTGAACTTGGAAAACCCTTCTCTCTAGAAGAAAAAGGAAAGTTGCTAAGTCTCTAGTTTCCAAAAGAAAACAAACACATCTCATCTCAGTGCATACATCCTGTTCTGACAGAACCAACAGAAGTACAGGGCAAGAGAAAATGGCTTTTGTAGCTAAAATGCAAAGGCAAGACAGGGTGAAAGGAAGTTGCCTACATCATTTACAGAGGTATGGAAATGGTGCTTTCTGTTGTAAGAGTATTTCAAAATACCCCTAAAGGGGAAGTCAGGGTTATCACTCCACAGATGGTGAAGACAGACAGTAGGGAACACAGTGATTTGTTTTAATGGAGTTGGCCAGTAGCAAAGAAAAACATTTCCCATTCCCAGCAACGAATTGTCCTGCTCCAAACCACAGCTAGTGTGTCAGCCCAGGGTCCCCAAGACTGCCTTCCACCTGACCAAGATTTGTGGAAGTTTCTAGACTGGATACAAACATTTACATCTTCTTCTACAGAAGTATGTCAATATCTTCATTGACTGGGCTATCAGTGCCCAGGTTCTCAATAACATCTCGCATTTCTAATGCGATTCTGACCTAGAAACAGCTCATAAACATTAGCTCTTCTGAACACACTATCACGAGATATTAAGGATATGGTAAACTGAAATATCAAGTAATTATGCAAACTGTCAAAGGCCACAAAACAAAGCAGCAGCAGAGAAAAGAGATCTTTGAACTCCTCTTCCCCAAACCGCAGACTATCTTTGCTTTATTATGTGAACTTTCATAACCCATGATACTTGCTGACACTGCAGAAGCAGCATTTTTTGACTAGGAAATGCATGCCAGCAGATGCTTTCAGTTCTCAGTGTCTTGTACATGCACTGCAAAACTAGGAAAAACACAGGGAGCCCTCACAGATGAGCTCAATGCCTAGAGAAGACAGAAAGAGACGGAGCACACCTGGAGAGCTGAATTCCAACAGGAGTTAAGTTACAAGAAAAGGAGTCCAAGACTTCCAAAATATACTTCGGCAAGTGATGTTTGTCCGCTTCACAAAAGAAAGTGGTTAGCGCAACCTGGCAAGGTCAGAAAAGGCCAGAGACAAAAACAGTGCAAGCTGTTGAATGTGATGATTTGAAATGCCCGTGTCAAGTTCTGCAGAGCAGGCCAGTGCTGCTGCACAAGGTAGGAATATACTGGAGACCAGGACTGAGCTGCATCACAGCTGAACCCATGCTCTGATGAGCTGACCCTCTCCAGATAACTAAACTGGATCTGCAGGAGTATTAACAAGCAATAAGGAGGTATGAAACTTAATATATTCCTACCCTTCGCATTCTGCTGTTGGAGAGAAGATCTGCAATTCCTCTGGCAGCATCATTTTTCTCAGCCACGCACAGGACCTTCCGGATCCTTTGTAACGTCATATCCTCTGCAGCCCGAGAGAAGAGACGCCAGGGCTGAGGCAGCATCCTGACTCCGCAGCTAGCAAAGAGCCTCGCTTGAAAGTTCATTACAGTCGATGGCGACAGCTCCCACGGTGCCAAAACATGTTATTGTATCCTCGTGCTGGGACCAATTTCCCCCAGGGAGTTGATCCCCTTTAGCACGCAGAGCGGTCCCTAAAAGTCCCCTCGACGGATCTTTAACCAGTGATCTAGGGGGAGCCTATGGCATCCTGCAGGCAGACACCTCCGTCAGACCACCCCAGTGCGAGTTGTGGCACAGCCTCCTCCGTGCACGGCAGATTCTGCAAGGAGCAGCTGAACTGGACAAGACATCTCTGCTCCTCCAACAAAAACAGCTAACCCGTGGCTCCTGCCCTCCTTTCGGCACCCCACATCCTGGGACAGGGTCCCCCCCAACTCCCTCCCACCCTGACAGTGCCTTTCCTCACCCTAGGGCAGGCCCCCTGCCCCCCACCCCAGACAAGCTCTCTCCTGACCCCAGGATGGCTCTCTCACCCCAGAACAGCCCCCCTTGCCACCCCCAGACCCTCTCCTCACCCCTGACAGCCCCCACTGCCCCCCCATGCTCTCTCCTC